AACTAGAACTCAATCACAAGAGGAAAGTCGGAAAGAACTCAAATACTTGGAGGCTAAAGAGCATCCTACTAAAGAATGAATGGGTCAACCAGGAAATGAAAGAAGAATTAAAAAAATTCATGGAAACCAATGAAAATAAAAACACAACTGTTCAAAATCTTTGGGATGCAGCAAAGGCAGTCCTAAGAGGAAAGTATATAGCAATACAAGCCTTTCTCAAGACACAAGAAAAGTCTCATATACACAACCTAACCCTACACCTAAAGGGGCTAGAGAAAGAACAGCAAATAAAGCCTAAACCCATCCGGAGAAGAGAGATAATAAAGTTCAGAGCAGAAATCAATGAAATAGAAACCAAAAGAACAGTAGAACAGATCAACGAGACTAGGAGCTTGTTCTTTGAAAGAATTAATAAGATTGATAACCAGGCTTATCAAAAAGAAGAGAGAAATGACCCAAATGAATAAAATCATGAATGAAAGAGGAGAGATCACAACCAACACCAAAGAAATACAAACAATTATAAGAACATATTAGGAGCAACTCTATGTCAGCAAATTAGATAACCTGGAAGAAATGGATGCATTCCTAGAGATGTAGAGACACCAAAACTGAACCAGGAAGAAATAGAAAATCTGAACAGACCTATAACCACTAAGGAAATTGAAGCAGTCATCAAAAATCTCCCAACAAACAAGAGCCCAGGGCCAGATGGCTTCCCAGGGGAATTCTACCAAACATTTCAAGAAGAATTAATACCTATTCTTCTGAAACTGTTCCAAAAAATAGAAATGGAAGGAAAACTTCCAAACTCGTTTTAGGAGGCCAGCATTACCTTGATCCCAAAACCAGACAAAGACCCCATCAAAAAGGAGAATTACAGACCAATATCCCTGATGAACATGGATGCAAAAATTCTCACCAAAATACTAGCCAATAGGATCCAACAGTACATTAAAAGGATTATTCACCACGACCAAGTGGGATTTATCCCTGGGCTGCAAGGTTGGTTCAACATCCACAAATCAATCAACGTGATACAATACATTAACAAAAGAAAGAACAAGAACCATCTGATCCTCTCAATAGATGCAGAAAAAGCATCTGACAAAGTACAGCATCCTTTCTTGATCAAAACTCTTCACAGAGTAGGGATAGAGAGTACATACCTCAATATCATAAAAGCCATCTATGAAAAACCCACAGCGAATATCATTCTCAATGGGGAAAAACTGAGAGCTTTCCTCCTATGGTCAGGAACACGGCAGGGATGTCCACTATCACCACTGCTATTCAACATAGTATTAGAAGTCCTAGCCACAGCAATCAGACAACAAAAAGAAATAAAAGGCATCCGAATCGGCAAAGAAGAAGTCAAACTCTCACTCTTTGCAGATGATATGATGCTTTATGTGGAAAACCCAAAAGACTCCACCCCAAAACTGCTAGAACTCATACAGGAATTCAGTAAAGTGGCAGGATATAAAATCAATGCACAGAAATCAGTGGCATTCCTATACACCAACAACAAGACAGAAGAAAGAGAACTTAAGGAGTCGATCCCATTTACAATTGCACCCTAAACCATAAATACCTAGGAATAAATCTAACCAAAGAGGCAAAGGAGCTGTACTCAGAAAACTATAAAATACTCATGAAAGAAATTGAGGAAGATTCAAAGAAATGGAAAAACTTTCCATGCTCATGGATTGGAAGAACAAATATTGTGAAGATGTCAGTGTTACCTAGAGCAGTCTACACATTTAATGCAATCCCCATCAAAATACCATCCACTTTTTTTTATCAAACTCAACACCCAAAGAACAAATGATCCAATCAAGAAATGAGCAGAAGACATGAACAGACATTTTTCCAAAGAAGACATCCTAATGGCCCACAGACACATGAAAAAGTGCTCAACATCGCTCGGCATCAGGGAAATCCAAATCAAAACCTCAATGAGATACCACCTCACACCAGTCAGAATGGCTAAAATTAACAAGTCAGGAAATGACAAATTTGGCAAGGATGCAGAGAAAGGGGAATCCTCCTACACTGTTGGTGGGAATGCAAGCTGGTGCAGCCATCTGGAAAACAGTATGGAGGTTCCTCAAAAGTTGAAAATAGAGCTGCCCTATGACCCAGCAATTGCACTACTGTGTATTTACCCCAGAGATACAAATGTAGTGATCCAAAGGGGTACATGCACCCCGATGTTTATAGCAGCAATGTCCACAATAGCCAAAGTATGGAAAGAGCCAAGATGTCCATCAACAGATGAATGGATAAAGAAGATGTGGTATATATATACAATGGAATATCATGCAGCCATCAAAAGGAATGAAATCTTGCCATTTGCAATGATGTAGATGGAACTGGAGGGTATTATGCTGAGCAAAATAAGTCAATCAGAGAAAGACAAGTATCATATGACCTCACTGATATGAGGAATTCTTAATCTCAGGAAACAAACTGAGGGTTGCTGGAGTGGTGGGGGGTGGGAGGGATGGGGTGGCTGGGTGATAGACATTGGGGAGGGTATGTGCTATGGTGAGCACTGTGAATTGTGTAGACTGATGAATCACAGACCTGTACCCCTGAAACAAATAATACATTATATGTTAAAAAGAAGAAGAAGATAGTAGGAAGGGAGAAATGAAGGGAGGGAAATCGGTGGGGGAGACGAACCATGAGAGACTACGGACTCTGAGAAACAGAGTGTTCCAGAGGGTGGGGGGATGGGTTAGCCTGGTGATGGGTATTAAAGAGTGTACGTACTGAATGGAGCACTGGGTGCAATACGCAAACAACGAATCATGGAACACTACATCAAAAACTAATGATGTAATGTATGATGATTAACATAACAATAAAAACCCAATTTCTTTTCTTTTTTTTTTTAAAGATTTTATTTTATTTATTTGACAGAGAGAGAGAGAGAGAGAGAGACAGCTAGAGAGGGAACACAAGCAGGGGGAGTGGGAGAGGGAGAAGCAGGCTCCCGGCCGAGCAGAGAGCCCGATGCAGGGCTCGATCCCAGGACCCTGGGATCATGACCTGAGCCGAAGGCAGACGCTTAATGACTGAGCCACCCAGGCACCCCAAAAAACCCAATTTCTACTGGGACAAATTTTGCAACCTAAAAATAAAAAAATAAAAAAAAAAGATTTTATGGATCAAAACCTATGAAAAGAAGGGGGAGGGAACAGGATTGGGCAGAAGAGAACAGTTGCATTGCAATGTAAACCCTGTATAAACTTAGACAACCCAGCATGGTAAGCCCCAGAGCAAATACTGTCGTCCCACCTAGAGCTGAAATGACCCACCTTTATACCCTCATTGAGCCACTGGATGCAGTGTTCCCCAGCAAGTGTGCGACTTTGGTCAATGCAAGTGTCTGCAGCTGAAACAGCAAGTTCTTCCTTGAAGGGGAATCTGGGCAGTGGAACTCCATGTGTACTGCCATCACTGGGGACAGGAAATACAGTAACAACATAGGGGAAAAGTAATGACTTTTCTTTTGAAGATATCACCTGAAATCCCGGAAGGAATTTCTATAGAAATATAGAAATAGAGCACATGATTCACTAATAATTTCAGCACACTGATAATAGAATCCAAAGGTATTTAGTATTAATTCTAGCTAGAAAATATCTGCTTTTTGTTTTCACACATACACATGCACACACACACAAACACACACATATACACACATACCCTCTTTTAACTTAACATAGATAAAGGTAAAAAATAAGATCATAGCATTACGAGTATGGGGAATGTAATATATTTATGCTTTTTAAATTTCTATACTATTGAGTTTATTCATATTATCATCTCTTATGGTTCTTTCTACATTTTAATGTTTTCCTATTAATTTGTGTTTTTGTAAAAACAGAGTCTCTAATCCAAAATACACTAATAAGATGCACCTCGAGGGGCACCTGGGTGGCTCAGTTGGTTAAGCGGCTGCCTTCGGCTCAGGTCATGATCTCAGTCTCCTGGGATTGAGCCATGAGTCAGGCTCCCTGCTGAGTGGGGAGTCTGTTTCTTCCTCTCCCCCTGCTTGTGCTCTCTCTCTCTGTCAAATAAATAAATAAAATTTGAAGCTTTAAAATGTTACAAAAGGGTAAATATGTTGATTTACTTCTTAATATTTTCATGTAATTTTGCACTTTCATATAGAGCGACACTGCTTTCCACATTTTCAAGCAGAATATTTTGAGGCTTCCTAAGATCACACTTGCTCTCTTCATGAACTTAAATGAATTACTTATTTCTTCTAAATCTCAGTTGCCTCGTCTGTAAAATGGAGATCTGATGGCACTTACTTAATAGGATCTCTCTGAGCATTAAATGGTATAGTATGTGCCAAAGGCTTATGGCAGTGGCTGGCACATAGAAACAAGTCAGTAGTGTCACTGAGTATATGGTGATACTGGTAACCATCCCTTCATTAGCAAAAATCAGCTATTGCCATAGGATACCCTTTTGCAAAAGGTATTTGTTGAAAATTAATGATTTAGAAATGGAAACCAAAATTGTAATCCCAGGGTTCAGTTTCCAGGACTTTTCTTCATCCATCACCAGGTGGCCCCACATCTTTAGCCCTCTTGGCTCTGTACTCATTGAAAATGAATCAGGTGGCAAGAAGACACTGCCGCAAAAATCCGTGGTGATAATAATCCAAAGTGCAGATGGTCCACTTAATAATCAGTTGTGCATTTGGCTAGAAGAGAGAAAAGCAAGCTTCATAGGTTTTAAATGGGCAAGAGAGCTGTTAAATGTGTCTAGACATTTTTCTTCAAGATTAGTCTCAATAAAAGAGGTAAATAAATCATCCTATTAACATTGAACCCTTCAAATAGTACATGGCCTAGCATGCTGGGCTGAGAAAAATCTCTAATCTTTACCTTTTCTCTCTTTTATAAATTGGTTAGTTAACAATTACTCATTTCTTGGCTTTACCTGAGTACTTACAAAACAGTTTCAGAACCCTTTCCTCCTCTTCTTCTACCTGGAACACAGAGCAAAACTACAGATTGTACATTCTCAAAGATCCTGTCAAGAAAGATCCTGTCAGATTAAAGGTTTTGTTACATCATGACTGATTCATTATTTCTTTCTCTTATCTCAGAATCTTTGAAGTCTTCAAATGGAGCCTCAAAAATTTCCTTTCAGACAATGAAAAATTCTTTCCAGGCTAGGTAATGTAATGCTAGAAGAAATGCTTGGCCATTGATTGCAACTGATACATAATATTTGAATAAATGGTGAAAGAATTAATATGGTGGAACTGAGCATATAAGAACCACCATATGGTAGTATTAGTGGTTAAGAGTCTTAGCGCTAGAGTTGAAGGTTTGGTATTCAAGTTGAATGTAATAGCAGTGTAGCTTGGGTAAGTCACTTCCAGGTAATCATACTTCTTTCATGAAGGTTTTTGTGAGAATTAAATGAGATCATATGTAAAGTGCTGAACATTTTGCCTGGAACATGGTAAGGACGTAATAGTGCCTTTCATTACCATCACTGCTTTGACTCACGGTATCATGGGATGATGACAATAATTAATTTCATCTTCAATGGAAAGATCTAAATATATCCGTGCTGATTTTTCTCAACTGATTCTGAATTGAGCCTCAAAAACCAGCTTTAAATGGTGGGATATCTTCCATGTTTGTTTTTGCAGACGGAGAGGTGGTCAGAAGGGTGGACAGCCCAGCATTGCTTGAAAGAGTGCAGCCTGGAATTCAACTGGATGGTCTGAGTATATGTATATTTTTCTCTTACTTATTTCTTTATTAATTTAATTTAATTTAATTTAATTTAATTTAATTTTTAGCTTATTTATCTGAGTATATGGTTAGCCAAAATATAGATAATTACATTTTGAGTGAATTCACAGACTTTTCAAAGTAAATGAGAGAGACTTGTTTTGATTGTGTCCACTCATATTTGATTTTCCACACATATTTGATTTTTATCTCAGGAACAGATGTAGAAATAAGACAGAATTGTAGAACTTACTCTAGCAAAGTCTTTCCTGCATCTGTCTTGTAAGTAAGAAGGTAAAATTAGACACTCTAACTGTAGTGTGGATAAATCACAATTCATAATCATATGTGACTCATCTTATGTCCAAAATTTCCAGCTTAATGTTTTACGTGAATTGTTGATTCTATTGTCAGTTAATTTGTGGCAGGGACTTTTGCGGCTAGCCATCAGGACAGCAGTAACACTAGATGGAGGGCATATTTTGATATTCTTCCCGCATTTTAGAGAAGGCTGTTCAGTGCTTCTTTTCGAAGATAAATGTGTTATTAAGATAGTCACTTTCATCAAGTAGTTATATGCCTAAAACAATTCAAGATGGATTCAAATGCAATATTTATTATACATGATATTTTGAAACTTACCAAAAACTAAATGGCACTTTTAAAAACTAAAAATTTGAACAAAGTTTAGCATAAATGGTCACTTATATACCTATAGAGTTAATAATATATGCATATATGCCAGGCACTATGTTGCAGATTTTTAATATTATTTCATTGAATTTTAAAGACAATTTAATGAGGATTATTATCCCCATTTGACATATGAGAAAACCAAAGGCTTAGTATACTAGATCAGTGGTTTTCAAAATGTTGACTATGTACTATTTTATTATGTATGTAATAACTGATACATGCAAAACAAAAACACTTACCAAAGATATAAAGTTTAAAGCATAATGAAAACCATAATCAAAACACACACTCATGATTGCACACCATGAGCATCAGATCTAAAGCTTTATCACTATTATCAAATATATCTACGTTCCTCCACTATTCTGTTCCTCTGCTTCCAGAGTTAATTACAATCCTAAACTTTGCTTTATTCTTACAGTTAGAAGTGTAGCTATTTTCCAAAGCCATGCTGTGTCTTCTGTTCTTTCTCTGGTCACAGTTATTTGTAACATTGTTTTAGTTTGTATAAAAGTGCATCAATGTTTCATTAGTCATTGACTTAATATAAACACACTAAGCATATTCTTGGATTTTGTACTTCCTGCTCAGAATTCATCAGTTGGTTTTGTGGTTTTCACTTAGTAGTTACACATGATTTCTTGACAGTCATTTACTTTGTACTGATTCAATGGGGAAAATTCAATTTAGCATTACACTTTAAAATAATTTTCTTGAAACTCCAAAATTTGAGATTGAGCAGGAGTAACATCAAATATGCCTCCTCGTAATTTTTTTAACCGGTTTATTATGTTGTCAATGGGAATATTGAAAATACAATAAACCATGCACGAAAAATCCTGCTGCTTGTATCTCAGAACTAGCAGATTGCAGAAAACTCTTCAGCTTTTACTTTGGCTACTCTTGCAATATACCTGCAACTTGCCAGGCACTGGCCACAGGATTTCTGCGGAGTATATCATTCCATATTTTTCTTATCTGAATTGTTGATAGAATGGATACTTTATGGCCCTTCCTTCCTTTCCTAGATCAAATATTTATCCAACAGCCAACAAGTGCTGGAAACTATACCCAAATCTCGGGCTTCAAATGTGAAAGGATATGATCCAAGATGACAGGAGACCACGCAGTTTTAAGAGGACACAAGTGAATGTGTTTATTGTTAAATTAATTTAATAAAACATTAGCTCCAGAATGTCATGGAATTTTAAGGAGTTTATGTGGATGCTGTGGGTATCTGGAATTCTGGGTGAGGTGTTGTGACAGGCAGCTGCTGCCTTGAGCAGATGTCAGTGGAGGGGTGAATGCTGGGCATCTCCTCTCCCATGTCATCCTTTATGGTCAACAAGATCCACACAGCGAATCACACAGGTGCGCGGCACTTTAAGCAAGGCTTGAGAGCAGCTGAAGAAAAAGTATGGAGGGAGCCTGGAGTAACTGCTTACACAAGAAAGTAAGGAAGTGCTTAAAAACGGAGAGGGATTTGTTGAAAGGACAAAGGAGCCAGCTTGAGGAAGTTGTCCTCATGGGGAAGGGAAGGTGTGAGCAAAGATCTCAAGGAAGTGAGGGACTTAGCCAAGCAGATACCTGGTGGAAGAGAATTCCAGGCAGAATAAATAGTTGTAAAATGGAAGTGTGGTGGCTGGATGTTTAAGGAAGAGTAAGGAGCCCTGTGTGGCTGGAGTGAGCGAGCAAGGGGGAAAACACTGTCAAAAATGTGACCAGAGAAAGAACAGAAGACACAGCATGCAAAACCTCCTGACTCATTTCCAGGAACTGGGACATTAACTCTGAGAGAGGGGAGCTAATGATGGAGAGTCCTGCTCTGGTATATTTTGAAAGGACCTTACTGGGAGTGCATCAAGAGTAGATATGCGTGAGCTTAAGGATACCAGTGAAGAGGTCATTGCAGTCATTCAAGTGGCTGAAGATGGTGGCCCAGGCCAGGAGGGTAATAGTGCACATGATTAAACTTTGAAAGTGAACTAAGATATCCTGCTGTAGTGGATATGGAATGTGTGAGGAAAAAAGAACAGCTGAGGATAACTTCCAAGTTGGTTTATAATAATATCCCAGGTGACAGATATATGGGTAGGGACAAGGCAGCTAGAGTGACCGGCATGGATCCAAAAGCTATTGAGGGGTAAGATTTATAAGAATTGGTGGTTAAATCATCCTTTTAACTTTAAAGGTATGTACTTCTCAGTGTAGGACATTTTTTTTTTTTACAGCCTTTTACTTTATATCAAAAGTCTCCTTGTAATTGATCCCATCATGCAGATAACTCTGTACTAGCTGTCTCATTTCTCTTCCTCTGAGCCATCAATTTCTTCTGGGCATTTCTTGATATATCGCATGATAATTATAAAAGATAAATATTTGGAGATATAAATCCCAATTTTTAATATACTGGTAATTAAAAATGAAGGGGAAACTGGCTCAAACCCTCATGTATGTGAGGGGGCGTAGAAACGTATACACTTCTCTCTTTCACAATTTTTTAAAATGAATCCCTTTCTTTTTCCAGTTGGGGACCTCACATGACTGGGAAAACCCGGATGAATCAATAGGGAGTTTGGTCATCTTTGTACTAATCTGGACATATTATTGTGAATTCACCAGGCAAAACTGCGAAGTCACAATTGTTAAACAATTTTTCTTTTTCTCACCTTTCTACCTTCACAAGCCTTTTGGTGTCCCCCCCCACCACCAATTCCTTGCATCTACAGCTTTGTCACTGCTCTCTGGCAGACCAGATCCTGCCCTCCAGATCCTCTATCTCTCCTTCCAAATAAAAATTACCCCCACTCCCCATGCCCTAGCTCCACCCCCACCTCAGTGCTGCAGATAAAATAAGTCATTGATCTGGTTATAGTGCTTGATGCTATGATGAATGAATAATCCAAAGCTAAGAGCAATGAACTTTAAAAAGAATTTGCAGAACTAAAAGCCATCTCTAAAAGGAAAATACGTGGGCATTATATTTCATTGCAGACTACCTCGTAACAACACCCTAACAACGCACAAACATAGCCCTCCCCCCTGCACACACACTCATGCCAAAAGTAAAATGGCAAAAAATGAGCTTTGCAGCCACATGCAACCCTTTCTGCCCATACTCCTCCTCTCCCTCCCAACTTATGTTTTCATACCTAGAGCCTTAGTGTAGGAAGGGCTTATATGTCTGTTTATGTGTGCTCCTAGGTGCCATTCTTCTCTTCGGGGAGTGTGCTGTAGATTCGGGCATTGTTTTATCCAAAGCAATGGTATCCTTGGTATTAGTAGGCAACATAGTATTGACTTGATCAGAATGAGGTTCAGAAAGAGATGTGAAGAAGTAGTATATCATTCAGTACTTTAAGTGATTTTGTTGTTCCCACTTATAGTTTAATTTCCCTGTATCAGAATTCAATTATTAAAGTATGAAATATCATTCTTTCTTCTTTTATAGTTGAAGCATATTTCCAACTATATCAAAATAAAAGTAACTAATAGAAATACTTTAGATTACAAACACAAGAAAGTACAGTGGAATTAGGCCCATTCCTGATTTCGGTATCCAAGAGGCTCCCAGGTCTATTAACTCCGTTCCTTTTAGTCTGGAATACAGTTAAGTGCTGGGTGGCTCTGTTACAAATGGAAAGACTTGCCTGGGGAGGGTCAGAGGTTTCTCAACATATTGAGTAGAATCATAAAAAGGGATCAAGGGTGTCTGGCTCAGTCCAGTGTTTTCTAAAGGCAGACCACACTTAGATGTTTAAATTTGTAGCTGAAAATCTCCAAACCCCACAACTAACCGCAGGGACTGTGAAGAAGTCATGTCCTTTGGGGAAAATGTGTAAGTGTTGTAAACTCTTGAGCAAGTGTTAAACAGATCCCAGAATTATAAGATCTCTGTTACAGTACGTTGTGTACTATAATAGAGAACTAAGGCAAGTGAGGGGCAGAGCACCAGAAGTTACACTACCACCATCCTGAGATTAAACTAAGATGAGTGGTTTTTTTCCTAAAGATTTTTTTTTATTTTTTATTGTTATGTTAATCACCATACAATACATCATTAGTTTTTGATGTAGTGTTCCATGATTCATTGTTTGTGCATAACACCCAGTGCTCCATGCAGAACGTGCCCTCTTTAATACCCATCACCTGGCTAACCCATCCTCCCACCCCCCTCTCCTCTAGAACCCTCAGTTTGTTTTTCAGAGTCCATCGTCTCTCATGGTTCATCTCCCCCCCTGATTTCCCCCCTTCATTCTTCCCCTCCTGCTATCTTCTTCTTTTTTTTTTT